ATATATACGATGAAATACCACTTGGCCAGAAGATTCCATCAGCCATTTGCGACAATATGGATGAATCTTGAGAATATCACGCTAAGCAAAATAAGTCAGACAGAAAAAGTCAAGAACCATATGATTTTACTCATATGTGGAATATAAAACTAAAAGCAACAAATGAACAAACAAGACAAATAAAAAAACCCAAAAGCTCAGACACAAAGAACAGTGTGATTACCAGAGAGGGAGGGAGTGGGAGAAAGGTATTAAAGGGAGTCAAATACATGGTAACAGAAGGTTTGATTTTGGGTGGTAAACAATGAAATATATAGGTGATGTATTAGAACTGTACACTTGAAACCTACATAATTCTTTTTTATCCTCACCTGAGGACATTTTTGCATTTATCTTCAGATAGAGCAGGAGGGAGAGAGGGAAGGAGAGAAACATCGATATGAGAGAGACACATCAAGTGGTTGCCACCCACACGACCCCAACCAGGGCCGGGGATAAACCGCAACTGAGGTACATGTCCCTAGTGGGAACCGAACCCGGGACTCTCTGGTCTGCGGGCTGACGTTCTAATCATTGAGCCAAACTGGCCAGGGTAAAACCTACATAATTTTATTAACCACTGTCACCCCAATACATTTAATTTAAAAAGACAGCTACTACAAATTTTTTTTTTCTTTTTATTGATTTTACAGAGAGAGAAAAGTAGGAGAGAAATAGAAACATCAATGAGAGAGAACATCGACTGGCCGCCTCCAGCATGCCCGGATCTCTTGGTGCATGGGTCAACGCTCAACCACTGAGCAACATGGGCCGGGCAAAAGACAGCTGTTTTAAACACTTTGTCTAGCAAGGAACTGTTTCTGTTTCAGCCATGCTTTCCTATTTATTTGTATGCTTTCTGTTTCTTGTTGAAAACTAGGCATCTGACTCATATAATGTGCTAATTCTATGTATCAGATTATCTCCTTTTACTTGGGTGGCTAAATTGTTTTGGGAGGGGGGTATTGTAGGGTATCTCTCTGCTAGCCTGAGATAAAAACTTAAGGTCTTGCCCTGGCCAGGTGGCAGCTGGTTAAAGCATTGTCCCATACACAAAAAGGTTTCTGGTCAGGGCACATGCAAGGCTTACAGGTTCAATCTCCGGTCGGGGCATGGGTGGGAAGCAACCAGTCAATATTTCTCTCTCACATCAATGTTTTTCTCTCTCTCTAAAATCAATAAACCTGTCCTTGGGTGAGGATTAAAAAAAAAATAAAAAAACCTTAGGTCTTCTCAGGTCTATTCTAAGAATGTGTCTTTCCCTGGCCAAGGGTGCTTTCTAAAGTCCCCTGAACACACAATTGGTCTTTAAAGTCTGAATACTTAAATGTCTAGCCCCATCAAAAAAAAATTAAAAAACAAAAAAACGCAAGGGGAAAAAAATGGCACTGAGCCTCCTGAATCCAACTGAGCGTATGGAAATTCCAAGAATAGGGATCCACCTTTGCTATAAGCAGCAATCAGCAATCAAAACACGGAATCCCAAATGTGTGGAGGACAAGGTCTTGGGCTATCCACTCCCACAAAGAGAAATAGGGCTGGGGGTGGGCGGTAAACACTAACCTGTAAAGGCCAAAACTTACCAAAATTAACTGGGATATACCGGCCAAGACTTTCCCTAAAAGAAGCAAGCTGTCAGACTCCAGAGTTCTAAACTAGTTTACTTCAGACAGTTGTGCCTGTGCCACAACTAGAACAAAGGCATTCCTGGTGCTTCTTACTCCACCATCTTCCCTGACATTACTAGAGTATGAGATTCTCTTAACATAATCTTCTCCAGCACAGGTATATGGAATAATATTGTCTTCACTTAACATCATCGACAGGTTCACACAGCATCTCAAAATGAAATGACATTATTCAAGGACCTGCAAAAGACTAGAAGATTGTCATGCACAGGTTTAATTAGAAATTAGACTTGCTAAATGGTAAGAATAGTACTGTTTTGTGGTCAAGAAGTCATGTTTTACACACTTAATGTTCTAACATGTTGATTTTCCTACATTGTACTGTTCGATGGTTTTGAGTTGACATGTGCCTCCCAATGATTTCCATTTATTTATTTATTTATTTATCCTCACCCGAGGACATTTTTCCATTTTTTTGTTGTTGTTCAGATAGAGTGGGAGGGAGAGAGAGGAACAGAGAGAGAGAAACATCGATGTGAAAGGAACACATCGAGTGGCTGCCACCCGCACAACCGACCAGGGCCAGGGACAAACTGCAACCGAGGTACGCGCCCTTAGCGGGATCCAAACCCGGGTCTCTCAGGACCGCAGGCCGATGCTCCAACCGCTGAACCAAACCGGCCAGGGCCCAATGATTTCCATTTAAAATAGTTAAAAACAGAGCAGTAGGAGGTGCTTCTGTGGTAGTGAAGGGGTGTCTATGTTTTCCTCAACACATGATTTTATCCAAAGACTACTGAAACAAGACATGCCAACATTTAATTGCTGTAGTGCCTGCTTTAGGCTCCATTTTCCTCCAAAAAAATGTATTTTTGCTTTTAAAAAAAGAGAAAGGGACTTCTGGTCAAGATGGCGGCGTAGGTAAACACGGTATCGCATCCTCCCACAACCACATCAAAGTTACAACTAAACTACAGAACAACCATCATTCAAAACTGCCTGACATCGAGCTGAATGGGAAGTCCTACAACTACGGAATTAAAGAAGCAGCTGCATGCAGACTGGTTATAGGGGCGGAGGCAGAGGGGCTGGTCCCACCCATGTGTGATGGATAAAAATCAGGAGGATACCTCAGCTGGGAAGGTCCTCCCTGAGAACTGAGGGGTCCCCATTCCACACCAGGCAACTTGCTCAGGGTTCCAGTGCAGGAAGAGAATCCCCATAACTTCTGGCTGGAAAAACCAGCGGGAACTGAGGCTCAAGGAGGTTGAGGCAGCTGGAGCCCTAGGCAGCAACTCTTAAAGGGCCCGTGCACGGACTTATTCGGACTTGCTTCCTTTAAGCTTGGAGGGGAGGTAGCTCTAGGGGCACCAGAGACATACAGGGAAGAACTGAGCTGTTTGGCATTGGAGCGAGGGCTGGACAGGGGGCTTTCTCCAGGACAAACATGCCGTCAGAGGCCTTTGTTCCTTTGGTGAGCCCTTCCCTGGGGCGGCAGACAGCCTCTATATCTGGGACTCCAACAACCTGGCTCATACTGGTTGCCCCGCCCCACCCAACTTTTAGGCCCACCCAAGCTGTTGCCAGTTGGTTAACCATAGGATTGGCCTGTCTTGGATCTTGCTTCAGGTTTTCCTAAATCCTTTCAAACAAGCAGCATCTGGTCTCAGATAGTCCCATACCTCTCATTAAGTAATACACAGAAACAAACACAGGGAGGCAGCCAAAATGAGGAGACAAAGAAACAGGTCCCAAATGAAAGAACAGAACAAAACCCCAGCAAAAGAACTAAGCGAAATGGAGATAAGCAACCTAACAGATGCTGAGTTCAAAATACTGCTTATGCCCTGGCCGGTTTGGCTCAGCGGTTAGAGCATCAACCTGCAGTCTCGAGAGACCCGGGTTCAGTTCCCGCTAAGGGCACGTACCTCGGTTGTAGTTTGTCCCCGGCCCAGGTCAGTCGTGCGGGTGGCAGCCACTCGATGTGTCCTTCACATCGATGTTTCTCTCTCTCCCTCTCTCTTCCTCCCACTCTACCTGAACAAAAATGTCCTCGGGTGAGGATAAAAAAACAAAAAAAAACCAAAAAACCCCAAAATACTGCTTATAAGGATGCTCAATGAACTTAGTGAGAACCTCAGTGAACTTAGTGAGGGCCTCAAGAGCATAAAAAAGGACCAGTCAGAAATGAAGGAGGCACTAACTGAAATAAAGAATAATTTACACAGATTCAATAGTAGAGTAGGTAAAGCCAAGAAGCAAATCACCAATTTGGAATATAAGCTAGCAAAAAACACCCAATCAGAATAGAAAAAAGAATCCAAAAAAATGAGGATAGTGTAAGGGGCCTCTGGGACAACTTCAAGCGTGTCAACATTCATATCTTGGGGGTGCCCGAAGGAGAAGAGAGAGAACAAGAAATCGAAAACCTATTTGAAAAAATAATGGCAGAAAACTTCCCTAACTTGGTGAAGGAAACAGACATATAAGTCCAGGAAGCACAGAGAGTCCCAAACAAGATGAACAGCAAGAGGCCAACAATAAGACACATCATCATCAAAATGCAAAAGGTTCAAGACAAACGGAGATCTTAAAAGCAGCAAGAGAAAAGCAGTTAGTTACCTACAAGGGAGTTCCCATAAGACTGTCAGCTGATTTCTCAAAAGAAACTTTGCAGGCCAAAAGGGAGTGGCAAGAAATATTCAGTGATGAAAAGCAAGAACCTACAACCAAGATACTCCATCCTGCAAAGCTGTCATTTAGAATCGATGACCATATAAAGACTTTCCCAGATAAGAGAAAGTTAAAGGAGTTCATCACCACCAAACCATTATTATATGAAATGAAGGGTCTTTTTGAGGAAAAAGATAAAATATATGAACAAACAAAATGGCAATGAATAAATAGCTATTGACAAACAAACTGAACAGGCAGAACAGAAACATTCTCATAGATACAGAGAACATTTTTTTGGTTGGCAGATGGAAGGGTGGTTGGGGGAATGGGTGAAAAAAATGAAGGGATTAAGTACAAATTGGTTGCTAGACTGACAAACCTCAATGGGAAGGGGGTTTGGGGGTGGGAAGAAATAAACCAAAGAACTTATATGCAGAACCAATGGACACAGACAACAGTGTGAGAAAAGGCGGGCGGGAGTGGGGAGAAGGGGGTCAATGGGGGAAAAATGACAAACATCTGTAATACATTCAACAATAAAGGTAAAAAAAAGAGAAAGGTCTTTCCCCCGCCTTTTCATTTAGCCAAACGGGCAGTAATTTGTAACTAAACAAAAAGAAATACACAATCAAAACTACTTTTTTTTTGAGAGTTTTATTCTGATAAAATAGTTGAAGATAGATTACAATGGTACATTGTACAAAAAGACTGGAAAATAATTTAGTGCTGGCATCCTACTGCCCACCGCAAAAAAGGACTCTTCTCAGGCAGGGAACCAAACCAAAGTTCCCCCTTACTAAAGAGAACAAGACTTTTCTCCATCAAAAAGAACAATCTCACCAATAACCCTTTCCACTTCTGCAAATCTGATGCAATCAAAAGTCCATTAAATGCAGAAACCAGTCTACTCAAAATGTTTGCAGTATTACGCAGTGATAGAAACTGCTCACACCTGTATCATTGAGGGTTACCCATAGTTTTGAGGAAAGCAGCAGGTGCTATAGTTATTTTACTGTTGTCTCTGGTTTACAGATCATGACTCCAATTTTGCGAAACCTTACCATATCAAACCAAGACACAAACAACAGTCTAGCCAAACTGCTTCAGCTGAGAAGGACAAACACTATCTCCGGTCCTTCTTACCAGCTTTCCTCTTCCCAGAGAGCAAGTGCTTGGGCTTCATATCAAACACATGCCTGTCTGCCTCCCCTTTCTTCCCCAAGCGATTCATCTTCTTCTGAGCACTCTTCATCATAGTCTTGGCTTTCTTCACCATCTACAAAAGAGGAGAAAACATAAAACACGTCAGCTACTGAGGACCAAATTTCCATGTGCATTTTCATGACCTGATAATCATCTTTACGATCTGGTTACAAGGACCAGAAATGTTTAGCGTGGAAGATTAGGGTATATCTATTCTAACTCCCTCTTAGACAAACAAAGAAACTCAGATTTGAACCCATGAAATGGTACTACTCACATCTGACTAACTAGTGGCCATGCTGGTATTAAATCCAGACTTCTAGATGGAGACGGCATGGTGGGATGGAAAACTCAAAGAATTCCATGAAGTAGACTGCCTGCTCTATACAGACTTTCTCTGTTACCAGAATTTTAAAAATGCTGAAACTAACATTTCAGGGGCTTATTTAATAAAAATAAGTTTCAGCAAGAGACAGTGTATACATCCAAAGCGTCTTATCCAAAAGACTGACCAAAGCAGCTCAGTTGGTTCCCAGCGTGGCTCACTGTGTGTGAGTGCCCCTGCTCAACAGGGATCATTCCTAGCACACCCTTAAATGGCCAGGATGTAGGCTCAGATGGCCTGGTGCTGTATGACACCATGCTTCTGTTTACTGGGAGAAAGGACACCACGAGGGAATGGTGTTCCCAGGGCAAAGGTCTAGGTACACCCAATTGAACTGGCCCAAGCGCAGCTCTCTGGGTACAGCACACAAATGACAGCTGGGGACTGAGGGGGTTAGCCCTGAGCATTCGGGTAGCCAAAAGCAGATGCTATTATGTCATTAATTGCACATGACAGAGTCTAACCTTGATGTCCCGAAGACCAGACACATCACGTGGAGTTCGAGAGCAACTGCGACTCCGGGCAACGGACGTGGGCGGGACAGAGTCTTCCCGCTTCCTTTTCCTAGTGACACTTCGAGACCTTCTGGCCTGGACTACATAATGGGCCTGAAAAGCACAAAGAGCACACTTCAGGATCTCAGCCTGGCTTTCAGGCTTAGTAACAAACCTGAAATCACTCCGACAATTGCAGAGGGCAATCGGGAGCTTTTATCAAAGCTATTATGAAATAACCTAAAAAAAAAGACCTGTAAAATACAGAGTTAATTTCACATTAATTATTGGTCAAATATTCTTTTTCATTTCATACAGCTCCTTTATGTTACAAAGCTAATTTTACTCTATTTAAAAAATTTTACTTAGCCCTGGCCAACTGGCTGTGAACAGAGCATCAGGGTTTGCACTGAAGAGTTGTGGGTTCAATTCCTGGTCAATATTTCATTCCAGGGATGCATGTTCAATCCCCAGTCCTGCTCATGGTGCATGCAGGGGGCTACCAATTAAGTCTCTCTCACACCAATATTTCTCTCTCCCCTCCCTCCCTTCCACTCTCTCTAAAAATCAATAGAAAAAATATGCTCAGGTGAGAACAAAACAATTTACTTAGAGCCCTGGTCAGTGTGGCTCAGTGGGTCGGGCATCATTCTGTGCACTAAAAGATTGCCCATTTGATTTCTGGTCAGGGCACATGCATGGGTTGTGGACTCTGTCCTGGATAGGGTGCATGCAAGAGGCAGCTGATTGATGTTCTGCTTTTACATCAATGTTTCTCTCTCTCCCTACCTCTATCTCTAAAAATCAATAAAAATATATTTTTTAAATGTACTCAGGACTGCCCATCTATTTTCCCTTAACCTACATCATTAGCTCAGCACCACAATTTCCACTTCAGACACAGAGTTTTCTCTCCTTTACCCCTCCACTCTGGGTTATGTATCTGAACACTGTGGTGGCCATCAGAAAGCTCAGGTTGGGGTTCAGCAAAGATACGCAGACGGCCACCAATGGGTTGTTCTGTAGCCCCCAGTTGTCAGCCCTGCTCCTGCTGGTGGGGGCTCTGGGGCTCACCCTGCCCAGTTGTCTGCAGCTAAGGATAACCCAGCTCCCTCAAAAGGCAGTAAAGCCCACCACTTAATGGACCCCAAAAGTCAGAAGCTACATATGCACATTAAAATGAGACTCCAGCCCTGGCCAGTTTGGCTCAGCGGTTAGAGCGTCGGCCTGCGGTCCAGAGAGACCCGGGTTCGGTTCCCGCTAAGGGCACGTACCTCGGTTGCAGTTTGTCCCCGGCCCTGGTTGGTTGTGTGGGTGGCAGCCACTCAATGTGTCCCCTTCACATCGATGTTTCTCTCTCTCTCTCTCTCTCTCTCTCTCCCCCTCCCACTCTATCTGAACAAAAAATAAAATAAAATAAAAATAAATAAAACTTATAAGTTGTTTATAAAAAAAATAAAAATAAAAAAAAATAAAATGAGACTCCAAGTGAACATGGTGCTCTCACTCATTGCTGATGAAAATCCAAAGCAGCCTAGCCCTTTTGGAAAGTTAAACAAATACTACACTTTGATTTCATTATTCTACCTGCCCACAAGGATGAGTACTAATTAAGGATGGTGGTGTGGCCAAGATCTTCCTAAATTCTTCTCAAATAGGAACAGCAAGAACTGAGTCTGGCAACACCATCCTGCATTAACAGCATGGCTCCTTAAGCCAAATGCCCAACCTGTTCTCTGAGAGGGACACAGGCAACAGTGTAACTAACAGAATCTGTCCTCAACCAGCCACTTCCAACCAAAATCCCAAGTGAAGCTCCTCAACAGAAAGACTGGAGGTTATAATTTCCTTTTAATGAACTCTGTGATCCTACAGGTTTCTGATCACCTGGTTTTCTAGGACAAAACTGTATCCAATTACAAAAGTATCTGAGACCATCTCAGCACACTCACATTGTCATTATTGTCCATGTCAACACCAAGGCTGCGCATCTCATTCTCCATGACTTTCTGCTGAACCTGAAAAAGGGGAAAGAATATTTATTTTAAGCAAAATCAATTTGATGAATTGTTAAAAAAAAAAAAAAAGTCAAGACAAAATGTGCCTTGTATAATTATCTGTGATACACCTCTTTTACAAATTACATATTTTACTTGGGCTCATACTAATGTTTGTGGACAGCTCATTAAATCCCACAAAAAGTAACATTTCCTGGGCACTCGCCATGTGTAGAACAGCATACACTTCATCCCTGGATTCTACACAACTCTGCGATTTCCTGTGTGCAGGTGAGGTCACTAAGGCAGAGGTTGGATGACACACACCCCAGGCCAGCATCCCTTCAGGCCCACCAAGCACCACTGGGGGATACAGAGATGTCTGCGTCTGCCAAGAACCACTCATTTGCCATCATATGAAAACAGTTTCAAGCACATGAATACCCATGAGGTGTGTGTACTGCTGTCATTTTCCTTCCTGTCCCACTGAACTTTAACTGCCCTGCACGTCTTCCTCTTTCTTTGGGGAGCTGCCCCCTGTCCAGTTTTTGGTCATGCACTATAACCATAGGACCTAGCCTCACCTCCCACCCTGAGAAGAACCTGAGTAGTGAAAGATGCCTATGGAGACAGAGCTGAGAGCTGAACAGAATCTGACCTCACTAACTACTGAGCCTAAACTGTGGTTCTCCCATCCTAGCAGGTCACAAGAGCCAATAAATTACCTTGAGATTTGTTAGACTGTGTTAGCTTTCTGTTAATTGCAAAAGAATCCTGACTAATAAAATAATTAAAGAATAAGAGCGTGTTTATTCATGGCTTGCTTTAGAGCTACAAATCATAGCTATGATGTTATAAACTTTGAAATTCACCAAGAAAAAGCATCACAATCAGAATATAAAAGACCACAGACTTATCCAACCTTGAAAGTCATACATACCAACAAAGCAAAACATGTACAATGTTATGGCTACACACAGGTAGAAATGTTTTATCTAGCAATGACTATACAAGAATCCCGGATGCAAATTATTAAGTCACCTCCTTGAAAAGACAGAAAACTTGCCTTCTTAGCAGTTCGTGGCATTCTGGGTCCCTGTGTGTTCTTCTCTTTGGACTGCAGAATTTTCAACTTCCTCTTTTCTCTGATTTCTTTTGCCAGCTCTCGGATTTCCATCATTTCTTCATCTTCACTTTCTGATTCACTGTCATACTCTCCAGCAGTTGTTCTTAGCTCTTCTTCTTTTTCTAACTCTTCCAATTTCTTTAAAATATCATAAATTTCATTTAAATACTCAAAAACTCAAGTAAGTGTAGGAACTTTATACAGGAACTAGGTTTTCCCTTTCTATATGCAATGGACAGCAGGGTTGTCTCATGTAGGCCTTTCCACATGCCAGAACCAACCTTCCAGCAAAGATTCTGGGAATAAAATGAAGACTGCACAAATGCTGAACTGGCAGCAGTTTAAGTACTTGGAGCCAGGTCTTTTTCGTCTTGCAAACCAATGAGTGCAGCCCTGGCTGGTGTGGCTCAGTGGTAAGGGCATTGGCCAGAGCACCGAAGGGCTGCAGTTCAATTCCCGACCAAGGGCACATACCTGACTTGCAGGTTCAACCCCATCCCTGGTCAGGGCCATGTGTGAGAGGCAAACAATCGACGTGCCTCTCTCACATTGATGTTTCTCTCTTTCTCCCTCCCTCCCTCCTTCATTTCCACTCTCTCTAAAAATAAATGGAAAAAGAAATATCCTCAGGTGAAGATTAAGAACAACGAAAAAGGGAGACAGCATCAACCTCAGTCCCTTCACTCCCAGAAAACACATGGATTCTTTAAGAACTTAAATCGCCAGTCTATACTGATCTTGTACTATAGTGGCATTTAACCATCCTAATGCCATTGCCAAACGCCACCTCACTGGCTGTACAGATGAAATTTAAGAAATACATGAATGGGTATCATAACCTAACAAATAACCGGCAGGAATGCAGCACTCAGATGTGTCTGCATGACTATGTGAGAGGGTGGGAGTGGAAGCTGGGAAGGGCATGGCCAGGCCAATCACAGGCCACCCAGAACCCACACTGAGGACACTGGATGCTGCGCACTAAGAGATGACAACAAGAGGCACAACTGAAGAATGTAGAGGACAGCGACGTAACTTCCTATGTGTGGGAGTGTGGACAAAAGGATGAGAAGAAGAGAGGGGAAAAGCAAAACACCAGTTGAAGCCAAGGCAGCAAGGATGAAAATCAGACAACAGAGAACAGAACTTCAAAAAGTGGAAAAAACAAAATGTTAAGGAGACTTATGTTAGGGTTCATTCCCTTGATACCTGGAAACTGAAAGTATAAATAAGGGCATCATTTGGGAAATGAGGAGAGGAAATGTGGACGGCAAATATTTATAGTTTTATTTTTCCAAAAACCTTGACTGAGGAAAGACAGGATAGCAATTAAAGGAATACACAGGATATGTTTTATAAAGACGTCCATGTGCTAAGAGGAAGCAAATGGAGGGAACTGAAACAGGAGGGAGTTGCTAATGATGGAACAAAACTCTGGAGAAGGTAAGAAGCAAGCAGGCTGGAGAACCACCGGCACTGTACCCAGAGGTACCTACCAACAAGAAGCACCTGTGCAAAAACAGTGCTCACACCCAGAGCTGCACATTCTTCACAAAAGTAGGCCGCCTGCTGAGACGGAACGAGGGAATTAGAGCAGGAGTTTAAGAAAAAAGGCCTCTGAGGGAAGATGATGAATGGTGCTGCCAATGGGCAGAGCATTGGGGTCTCCAGGACACTCGGCCGGAGCAGGCTGTCGTGACTGGGGACGGGAGGCTTGTGGGTATAGAAGGAAGGACAATGACAGATGAAGGTGAGCCAAAAGCTGTGCTTGAGTCACAGGCCAGAGTACTGACCATTTTACTATGAGACCAGTTAAAAGTTGTGCTTGTGCTTGTATTAAAAAGGAATAAAAATCATGTCATTTACCAAGCGATACAAACCTGCATGATGTCAGGATCAATGTAATCAGCTACATTGTGGCCTTCCCAGATCTCAGGTATCTTATCATACTTTTCGGACGAATTCATTATGTCCCAATACTCTAAAGTTTGAAAAAATAAGTTATGTTTACAGTAGTTTTTAATATCAATTACCACATCCCCAAAATGAGTTTTTAATATCAACTACCGCATCCCCAAAATGAGTTATAACTCATGCATGTCATGCCACTCAGTGAGACAACAGCGTGTCTATTTTTGACACTATGTAAGCAAAGCCACCTGTTTATAAAAGATTCATCCCCGCCCAGCCGGTATGGCTAAGAGGTTGAGCGTGGACCCATGCACCAAGAGGTCGCTGGTTTGATTCCTGGTCAGGGCACATGCGCAGGTTGTGGGCCTGATCCCTTGTGGGGGCATGCAGGAAGAGGCCAATCAATGTTCTCTCTCATTGATGTTTCTATCTCTTTCTCCCTTCTCCCTTCCACTCTCTCTCAAATCAATAAAGGAACAAAATAAAAGATTTATCCCCAAATATCCCCCAAGGTCTATCAGTACCTCAGGATAAAATAGTGACCACAGAAGGAAAACAAAAATAAAACCAGTAAGATATACCCAAAAGATAAAGGCATTGATAACATTACTGACAGCATCAACCTGGCTCAACCTTTACCTGCTATGAAAGCTACAGAAATAATCCTGCATCCTAAAATGACAGAAAACTACTGGAAAGGAAGAAATCTCAGAGCCCTGCCATCACATAAGCTGTCACCTTTAAGGAATTAAACTAACAAAATGCTAAAAGACTTGTGCTCATTAAAGCCCTATTTAAATACAACTAGTACAGCCCTGGCCGATTTGGCTCAGCGGTTAGAGCGTCGGCCTGCGGTCCTGAGAGACCCGGGTTCGGTTCCCGCTAAGGGCGCGTACCTGGGTTGCAGTTTGTCCCCGGCCCTGGTCGGTTGTGTGGGTGGCAACCACTCAATGTGTCCCTTCACATCGATGTTTCTCTCCCTCTCTCTGTTCCTCTCTCTCCCTCCCATTCTACCTGAACAAAAAATGGAAAAATGTCCTTGGGTGAGGATAAAAAAAATAAATAAATAAATACAACTAGTACAGCCCTGGCCAGTTTGGCTCAGCGGTTAGAGCGTCAGCCTGCGGTCCGGAGAGACCCGGGTTCGGTTCCCGCTAGGGGCACGTACTTCGGTTGCAGTTTGTCCCCGGCCCTGGTTGGTTGTGCAGGTGGCAGCCACTCGATGTGTCCCTTTCACATCGATGTTTCTCTCTCTCTCTCTCTTCCCCTCTCTCCCTCCCACTCTATCTGTACAAAAAATGGAAAAAATGTCCTCGGGTGAGGATTAAAAAAAATAAATAAATAAAATAAATAAATAAATACAACTAGTACATGTTAGGTCCTTACTTTGAAGATCCAAAATATAATCATCTCCCAGTTCCAATTCGATATCGCGTTCCTGCAATTAAAAAAAAAAAAAAGATTATGATCAGCTCCATTTGACCCTTCAGGTCCACAAATGCTGAGTCCCCTCCTTGTTCCTGTGAAATAACCTCCTCTCCAACCTAAAGACCAACCCTTTCCAACCCTGATATTCAGCTCCTACTTCCTTCCAGTAGGAGAGCTATTGTGACCATCTGGAGGGCCATATACACAAGGGCGGGAACCACTGTTGAGTTTCTCGGCTGTGTTCTCATACAGCATAAAGGTGATGACACCAGTTCTGTCGACCTGCTCATGCTCTATGTCTACATCCCTTGTTGCAAAGCCTTTCTGCCTTTCCCCACAAGTAAACCCAGTGAGGCTGACAGTGACCTACCCTCTTCCTCCGAGGCTCCCCAATCTCCATTCTCTTCCTTCGAGCCACCACTCCTTCTGGGATAAATGGGGGCCTTTCCTGGGAAGATATTATGGGAAATATTTATGTAAAACACCTTGCTGATTGGGAAATAAGCAAAGGAATAAAAAACTAAGAGTAAATTCTCCATCTGCAAAAAAAAAACCAAAATTAATAAAACCACACCCAGATCAATACAAAACCAACATATGATTCAAGGGAAGAGAGGAGGGTGCAGGGACAATTTGAGCAACAAAGCCAGGAGGACTCCAGGAGCAGATTTTAAAGTTCATTTAGAAAAAAATAAACATCAAGATTACCAAGAAAAATTATAAGTAAAGAAAGCAACACAGGAGAAATAAAGCATATCAAGAAAAAGAGAGCCCTGGTTGGTTTTGTTCGGTGGTTAGAGCGTCAGCCCACAGACCAGAGAGTCTCGGGTTTGGTTACCGCTAAGGGCATGTACCTTGGTTGCAGTTTGTCCTGGCCCTGTTTAGAGTTGTGTGGATGGCAACCACTAGATGTGTCTCTCTCACATCGATGTTTTTCTCTTCCTCCCTCTCTCCCTCCTGCTCTATCTGAAGATAAATGCACAAATGTCCTCGGGTGAGGATTAAAAAAAATGGAAGAACTTAGATATAAACATGATATTAATGACTAGCTGGTTGAAAAGTAGAGCTGGATAACTACCTCCATGTTTTCTAAAATAAATTCAAAACTAAAGATTTATTCAAAACAGGTAAAATTAAAAAAAAAAAAATTAAACCATCAAAGTACAGAATAAGATCTATTTTTGGAATGGAGGTGAGCACTGATATGCATGACACCAAAGCCAGCAACCACTAAGGAAATATTCATATATGCTAACAGTTTAAAAATCTGTTTTCTCTGAGATTAAAAAAAAAAATCTTCCAGATCTGGAGAGTATTTTGCTGAGTTTAATAAGCCAGTCAGAAAAAGACAAATACCACATGATCTAACTTATTTATGAAATATCATGAACAAAATAAGCTGTCAATCAAAACAGATCCAGAGACCTGGAAGTAGGGAACACAATGACAGACTTCAGAGGGAAGGGGGGTGGGAAGAGATAAACCAAAGAACTTATATGCATATGTGCATAATCAATGGACATAGACAATAGTTGGGTAAAGGCTGGGAGGGGGTGGGGCAGGGCACAGTAGATGGGAGTGGGGAGGAGGGGGGAATCAATGAGGGGAAAAAAGAAGGGACATCTGTAACACTTTCAACAATAAAGATTTTTTAAAAATCTGCCCTCGTTGGATTGGCTCAGCGGTTAGCACGTCAGCCCACAGTCCAGGGAGACCTCGGTTTGGTTCCCGCTAAGGGCTCATACCTCGGTTGCAGTTTGTCCCTGACTGGTTGGGGTTTTGTGGGTGGAAACCAGTCGATGTGTCTCTCTGACATCGATGTTTCTCTCTCTCTCCCCCTCCCTCTCTCCCTCTTGCTCTATCTGAAGATGAATGCAAAAGTGTCCTTGGGTGAAGATAAAAAAAAAAAAGATTAAAAAAAAATTTCCTCCAGCCTGGCGGTGTGGCTCAATGGTTGAGCATCAACCCATGCACCAAAAGGTTGCTGGATCGATTCCCAGTCAGGGCTCATGCCCAGGTTGTGGGCCCAATCCTCAGTGGGGACATGCAGGAGGCAGCCAATCTATGTTCTCTCTCATCAATGTTTCTATCTCTCCCTCCCACTCCCTTCCTTTCTCTCTAAAATCAATAAAGAAAAAATATTAAAAAATAAAAATCCCTCCAGCCCTGGCTGGAGTGGTTCAGTAAGTTGGAGTGTAGTTCCATGCACAGAAAGGTTGCAAGTTCAATTCCTGGTCAGGGCACATACCAGGGTTGTGGGCTCAATACCTAGTTTGGGTTTATAGAAAGGCAACTCGTTGATGTTTCCCTCCTTCTCTCTCAGCATGTCTTTGGGTGAGGATTGAGTAAATAAATACACAAAATCCTCCAAATGCAAAAGGCAAATGACAAAACAAAAAATGTTAGCCTTGCTGGTATGGTTCAGTAGATTGGGTGTCGTTCCATGGACTGAGAAGTCCCAGCTCAATTCCTGGTCTGGACACAAGCCCGGGTTTCAGGCTCGATCCCGTGTAGGGGGTGTGAAGGAGACAGCCGACTGATGTTTCTCTCTCTCCATTCCTCTCTCTCTAAAAAAAAAAAAATCAATAAAAACATATTAAAAAAAAAAGAAACATATGATTGTCTAATCACTATGCTGTATACCTGGAATTAATGCAAAATAATGTTGCATGTTAACTAATTTAAAATATTAAAATATACATTTACAAGAGTGTAATTTCTTAATCTAAAAATGGTAAGCCAACGAGTAAAATATAAAGAACCCGAATAATTGAAAAGGCTAAAAGCCCATGAAAAATGCTCAACTGGCCTGGCTGGTGTTGCCAAGTGGTTAGAGCACCAGGCCATGTACCAAAGGGTCACAGGTTCAATTCCCAGTCAAAGCCACGTACCTAGGTCGCAGGTTCAATCCCCAACCCCGGTTGGAGTACATGTGGGAGACAACCAATGTGTCTTTCTCACACTGATGTTTCTCTTTCTCCCCCCACCTTCCTCTCTCTAAAAATCAATGGGAAAAAAATTAAGAAAGGTCAGCTGCACTAATCATTAAAGAAATTCATCACAACAGAACCATCTTTTAAAAAATTACAGTGCAATTGATAATTATATGTATTTCACATGTACACCATCCTGATTTGATACTTGTACACATGACATAGTACTCATCACTTTCCACCTAGTTAGCAGCCATATCTTTAACCAGATGTCAACACCAAAGGTGCAGAGAACCAGCGCAGTATACAACTCATAAAGCATTTTGGAGGACGACGACATTTTCAATGCCATGTCTTAAAATTTCCTCTACAAATAGGTTTGCAAATAAAAACAAAGAACTGTAATATAAAGGTCTGCATTCAAGCACTGTCTACAAAGGCAAATAAATACAAAACTTAAAACAGAAAAAAATTTGTATTTAAAAAAAATTTTTTTTAAATATGCTTTTATACCAAAAATATTTCTGGGAAGATAAACAAGATAGAGTTACCAATAACTGCTCTGGTGGAGTGAGAAGCAGGTTTTTTTTTTTTTTAAATCCTCACCCAAGGATATTTTTCCATTTTTTGTACAGATAGAGTGGGAGGGAGAGAGAGGAAGAGAGAGGGAAACATCGATGTGAAAGGGACATATCGAGTGGCTGCCACCCGCACGACCAACCAGGGGCCGGGGACAAACTGCAACCGAGGTACATGCCCTTAGCGGGAACCGAACCCGGGTCTCTCTGGACCGCAGTCGGACGCTCCAACCGCTGAGCCAAACCGGCCAGGACGAGAAGCAGGTTTTAAATTGGCACCTCACACTCACCTTTTCCCTTTTCAATATACATGGGATGATTTTTAGTCTCAGTAAGAACCTGAAGCTCATGACATCCATTTATGCATGTGTGTGTAAATGGATTTGCAGCCCTTGAACAAAGGCATGCAGCATGTCCACTGTGTCAGCAACACCATAATCTCACCTCAAAGGGTCTCTGGAAGGGCAATCTTACCTTATCATCTCTTTTGTTTGGCATAGCCAAATGCAATCTGTTCAGCACCTCATTCACTTTATTTCCTTTCATTTTGGTTTCAACTCGATGAGCCAAGAGCCGGTCACAAGCCTAAATAAGTGGGAAAACAAGGAACGGAGTCACAAAGCATCCTGCCGCAGCCTCCAGGAGGAACCAACAACCAGAGACTGTCCCAAAGGTTTGGAACCAGCTAAGCACTTCAGCTCACTAGTGACATCTAGTGGCTAAGTCCCCAGGACCACGGCAAGGTCCAGAACCTCCCCTGGGGCAGACACATCCTATTCTGGAGGCTGCCTTTTTAATCCTTTCCAGGCCGGGCCCAATCTGAGGCAGAACCTGGAGGCCACACCACCATACAGCTGGCCCCAAGTGACCCTAGGCCCTTGCTAGGCCCTTCTTCCAAGTCGGTGATCCCATGTTAACCAGTCAGCCCCCTAACTTGATCCATGTCCTACCTCAGGACTCTGACTAGAGCAACTGAGCCTGAGTAAAACCAACAGTATCAGAGTCACCCTTTTTATTTCAGGTACAAACAACAACAAAGTAAGAATACTGGAATCATGTGAAATCTAACAGCAAGTGCCTCCTTAAGCTGTTTCCACTTTTATTAATTTTTTCTTTCTAGTTCTGAACAGGTTCCATGATAGCTCCCACAAAAATACTGGCAGGCTGGGAGAAACATCAGGCAGCAAAGTTAAAATGATCTGAGCTGGGAGTGTAAGTACAGTATCTCTATGAAGCTCTACTCTCATCGGGGCAGGTGGGACTAGGGCTTCAACAAGGATGCCTACATTTATGCCTCCTGCCTAAGCTACTATGAGTGCTCAGTGTTATAACACTTGGAAAGAAAACTCTTTCCCCATGGCTGACTTTTCTAAAACGAGAAAGACAAATAAAGGGCTCCACACCTGCCTAAGAGGAAGCACTGACCTCTGTTTTCACTTTGATAACGCCTTCCTCCGTCAGCGTGCTGGTCTCTACCACAGGAAATCCTTCAGCCTGCAAATCTATAAATATTTTCTGAGAATATAAAGGAAAAGTGAGAGAAGTATTATTTCCAGGTTCTTATGAACAATCTTTCTGTTCCTCAAATGGGTGTTAAAAATACTGCTTAGTATATTATCTCTGGTTTGTTTGACCTCTTTTGAAAGACATCTCCCAAAAAGATATTTATTTTTTCCTATATTGTTCTGTGATTAAGAAAATGCAAATTACTAGCAGAATCAAATAAGACTACAGCAAGCAAACCAGAGGCTTTCTAGAATATGAGATCTTAAAAGAAACTTGGCAAAATACTTTTTTTTTTTTGGGGGGGGTACATGCCCCTAGTAGGAACCGAACCCAGGACTCTCTGGTCCGCAGGTCGATGCTCCAACTGCTGATCCAAACCGGCCAGGGCAAGATAGAGACTTTTAAAAAAAATGTTCTCAAAGGTTTTTTTTAAATTGTCATCTGAGGATATTTTTATTGATTCTAGAGAGAGAGGAAGAGAAAGACAGAGAGAGAGACAGACAGAGAGAGAGAGAGAGAGAGAGAGAGAGAGAGAGAGAGAGAAAGGAACATAGACTGGTTGCCTCCCATGCACGCTCTGACCGAAATCAACCCCGAAATCTTTTTGGTGTACAAGATGATACTCCAACCAACAGAGCCACTCGCCCAGGCCTCAAAGCTCTTTTTAACATTTCACCTCCACAGCTCATGAGAATTCTTTAGAAAATAACACAAAAATGTTTATGAATCTAGCTCCTTATAAACCAGTAAGACTCTAAGAGAAGGGACCTCATTTGTGCTTCCGTCCCTCCATCATACACAATTTCACTCAGATGCAAGTAACCAGTCGTGGAGTCATTAGCTTTCTATGAACCAAAACTGCTCCCTCCTGGAAAAAGCAGTGGTCCTGAAGAATATCAGCATCAGAGAACCAGTCTCACTACTGACTATCATGTGGAGACAGATAGCGTCCATCACACAGTAACCTACACTATTACTGATGAAGTCAGAGCACCAATGAATATAGGATACAAGATAGTGTCATCTAGACAGTATCGCAATAGTGCCCACTGTCACTTCTCAGTTTCACTAAATCTTCCCAATAACATCACTGGTAAAAACCCAATGGTGTCACTGTTATTCCAGAGAGGTGACCTCACCAGTCAGGGCTGCTAGGTAGTGAGGCTGAACTTAAGCCTGTGCAATATCAGAGCCTGAGCATCCGGTACAACATTCACTCCCAACCTTCTTGATGCCCCCGACTTTCCCTTCTTCTCCATCCTCCAGTGCTTTTAGACTGAAAAACTGAGATTACTCAATAGGTACTTGGGTCCCTCTGAAGACAACTGAGTTCTCTGATGGTAGTGTTTATATAATTAGTAATTTAAAGAATAAACTGAAGTTCTCCAAGGAAACCAGCACGACTGTTTGAAAACCCTAATTCTCACTGAGCATTAGATGTCCACATAACATAAAAGAGACACTGGGAAGAGAGCAGCATACCCCTACCTCGGGACCCTCTACTCAGACCTGCTCAACGGAGCATGCTTCAGGACCTGTTGCCAGACGGAGTCATCACTCTACTGCAGTGGCTCCCAAACCTCGAGTGTATACTCATCACTAGGGAGCTGTTCAAGCCCAGGTTGCTGGGCATACTCCCCACCCCCTCCATTTCTGATTCCAGAGGCCTTGCATTCAAAACATATTACCACAGGAAAGCAGCACTGCTGCTCGTGGCCATGACCTGAGAACCACTATACTGGTGCAAAGCTTCTCAGAGCATCTGCCCTGAAAAATGTCACTAAAGAGGGCTGCAGGGTTCAGTCAGTTTGACAAACCAAGGCTCACATTCCCTGTCTCTTGGGAAACTTCAGCAGACACTACAGATTCCGATTCTAGAGTGTCAGATGCTCATTTTCCTTCATTCAGTTTCCAAACTGACTTCATCACAGACTCCGTGCAGCAGACACGTAGGTAACACTATGAAACCCCTGCTACCTAGAAATGTATTCTGTGAAGTGCTGCTGCTGTGCACCTGGCTGCTGAGGCCTGCACTGCATTTCTTTTAAGGCCCTGGTATATCAGAACAGTCCCTTCCTATGTAAACATATCTTCCAGAGGTTGAATGCACTGACCTGTTGCATGCACGGATGTTTCCGCGACCTCTAACAGAGCAGCCATTAGGAAATCTCAGGTTTAGTTTGCCACTAAGGTTTTTATAATGTCACATTGACTGAACCACCAAGGATGCTATCTCAGCTGAAAAATAAAAAAACCAGTCTAGCACCGCTACAATTCTTTCTAAACTCTGGTGTCTGAGACGATTTAGAATTAGTAAGAAATACTGAAAACATTAGGGTGACTTACCTGGTCATCTTCTGGAAGCTCTGCAATTCTCTTCACATCACATTTGTTTGCTACAACTATAAGAGGCTAGAGTGAGAAGAAAAACAACAAGGTGATTACCACCTTCATACTACAGGTCATAAATGTGGTACTGGTCATAGCACTCACCTTGTTGACAAAGAGAGGTCTGATGTTCTGGAAGAGCTCCAACTGCGCCTGTAGCCCATGCCCACATTGCTCAGACAAGTCCATCACGTACAGCACTGCGGCACGCAGGTGGGCCAGGGCCGTGATGGCCTGCATTTCGATTGTGTTCCGGTCCTCCAAAGGGTGGTCCAAAATCCCTGGGGTATCTACAACCTAACAGTCAGACTCATCACTCCAAAGCACATTGCTCATAAACTTGCTGTCCAGCACATCTTGGAGATCACTCACATACCCAATGTAGCCCTGAACGTATGTGTCACAACTGACCATGCCAAAAGCAAGCAGTAAGGGAAAAAAGGGGGATGGAGGGACCTGCAGAGCTCATTAGGGAACTAGCAGTGACCTTGACAGAATGCCTCTCTACTCATTAGTGACATCATGAAACAGAACTGGAATAACTAGCAAACACACCCATGTACGAGGAACTATTTTGTCATTGATACAGTTAAATTCAACTGTGGAAACAGACTGCCTCATGCTTTTAAATAATTAGTAAATACCATTTCTAATAACAGGGTCAGAAACGGTGACAAGGAGACTTTCCTCAGCAGCACTGTTAACATAATTCAAAACCTTCCTGGTAGCTGGCAGCTCCCCTTAACCCTATCAGAGGAATGAGAAGTGGCCTTATGCAACCCCAAAGCTCCGAAGAGTTCTCCTCACGAGTGTGCTCCTGGCAATCCTGAGAGTCTACTTCCCACCTCCTCAGTCTCCCCACCTCTGACAAAGTGCACTAAAAAAATAGACACTCTGGTGCTGTAGCGGTCAAAATCACACTCCATTAACAAAACTACCAAGAGACTATTCCATTTAAAGATAAGAGCTCTCACCTGCCACCGCAGGTATTTATAATCCATGTGCCCAACAAACAGAGACTTGGTGGTAAATGCGTAAGGCTGGACATCCACATCTGCTCTTGTCACCTGAAACCAAAGAAAACAATCACGGGGTTCTACACTTTATTTCCTCTCAAGCAGCTTAAAAGTACCCCAAACATGTTATTAAGACTGTTATGGTAGGGCGCAGGAGTGAGGATGAGGGGAGGTCAATGGGGGGAAAAAAGGAGGGAGATCTATAATACTTTCAACAATAAAGATAAAATTTTTAAAAAGATTATTATGGTAGAAGGAAAAAAAAAAAAGCACCCTGGCCAGTGTGGGTCAGTGGTTAGAGCGTCAGCCCTCAGACCAAAGGGTCATGGGTTCAATCCCCAGTCAAGGGTGCAAAACTGGTTGCAGGTTCGATCCTCTGCTCAATCAAGGCAACCAATTGATGTCTCAATTTCGCTCCCCTTCCACTCTTAAAAAAAAACAACAACGCCCTGGCCGGTTTGCTAAGTGGTTAGAGCATCGGCCTGCGGATCAAGGAGTCTTGGGTTTGATTTCTGCTAAGGGCACGTTCCTCAGTTGCAGTTTGTCCCCGGCCCCTGTTGGGGTCGTGCGGGTGGCAACCAATTGATATGTCTTTCTCACATCGATGTTTCTCTCTCCCAGCGGTTTTCAACCTGTGGGTCACGACCCCTTTGGGGTTCGAACGACCCTTTCACAGGGGTCACCTAAGACATAACAGTAGCAAAATTACAGTTATGAAGTAGCAACAAAAATAATTTTATGGTTGGGGGGTCACCACAACATGAAGAACTGTATTAAAGGGTCGCGGTATTAGGAAGGTTGAGAACCACTGCTTTCTTCCTCCCACTCTATCTGAAGATAAATGCAAAAAAAAAAAAAAAAAAAATCCTCGGGTGAGGGTTAAAAACAACAAGAAGCAAGACCTCCATAGTTTAACTGCCCAGGACAGGAGCTACTGTGTTTCGACAGATGACAGGCTCCACTTCCTCATCTGCTATTCACAGGGGAAGAACCTAAATCAGGAACTACAGAGGTGAGGCAAGCCCAGTAAGAGTACACGCACCAGATTCTCCTACTCCAGCCCTGGCCTGTTTGGCTCAGCGGTAGAGCATCAGCCTGTGGTCCAGAGATTCTCCTACATCATCTTGGCCACAGCCACAGCCAGCACAACCTTCTTTGATGATGAAAATGTTCTACATCTACACTATCCATATGGGGCCTGCTAGCCATATGCCCATGAACTCTTGAAATTAGGTCCACTGCAAGTGAGGAACTCAATTTTTTAATTAATTAAAAAATTTTTTTTAAAAATTGATCTCAGAAGAGGAAGGAGGAGAGAAGAGAAACATCAATCGGCTGCCTCCAGAATGCGTCCCAACTGGGGGTCAAACCCACAATTTGGGTATGTGTCCTGACTGGGAACTAAACATGCCACCTTTTGGTGCTTGGAATGATGCTCCAACCAACTGATGAGCCATACCAGCCAGGGCTATTGTTTAATTTTAATTAATTAAGTGGCCCCCGTCTCTACCCCACAGCAATGGCTTATGGATGTTGGAGAACTAGCTAGGATACTGCAGAGCTTCGGCTTGTCACCATGTCAGCACAATTTGTGGACAACATAAAAACCCACAGAACTGCTTAAAGGTGTAAGTGTTCTTGGTAGCAAATAGCCACATAAATGTAACAACTGCTTATTGGCATCTGAGCTATTGCTGCTTGTGAAACAACATTTTAATAGCTGTTTCTCCTCTGCTCAGGTCCCTCAAAGTTAAGTAAATTATCCTAAAGCACTAAGTTACTTAAATAGGGCCCTTGAGTCATAATTAAACTCACTCAAATAAAGAATGACTCGGCACTTCCCACTACATGGACCAAATAACTGTGAAAGCTGACATAGCAACCAAGGGCACAGCACTCAAAAAATACCTTTGGAGCCCTGGCTGATTTTGCTCAGCGGTTAGAGCATCCACCTGCAGACCAGAGAGAACCGGGTTTGGTTTCTGCTAAGGGCACGTACCTTGGTGGTAGTTTGTCCCCAGCCTCGGTTGGGGTCATGTGGGTGGCAACCACTTGATATGCCTCTCTCACATCAATGTTTCTCTTCCTCCCTCTCTCCTTCCCACTCTATCTGAAGATAAATGCAAAAATGTCCTCGGGTGAGGATAAAAAACAACAACAACAAAACCTCTGGAGACCGGGAAGTCCCCATTCAGCGACTTCAGCCTGCCACAGTGAACGGCAGGTCTGCTGGCACCACTACTCCCAGAACATGCCAAGACAACGTGTCTTGTGAGAGGCTCTTGTGTGTTAACAAAAATGTATTTAAACGTCTCAAATCCCTCAGAAATTTGTAGAAAACACACAAGACTAAAAAAAAATGGTTTCTATAACAGGAATATAAATCTAGATCAAAAAACCTCAAACCTTCCTTTGAGGACACAATGTTTTAAACATAGGGCAGCACCAACTAACGGACTAACTGGCTAGCCCACTCCATCCCATGTGGTCAAGACATGGCAGCCCTTTGGCCTCAGGTCCTCGTGGTCACCTGAGTAATTATCAGAGACAAACCAACCTTATTGATGAAGCTGGATTTGCCAACATTTGGGTACCCACACAGAAGCAGGGTCCTTGTGTTCGGGTCAATAGTTGGCAGACGGGACAGGTGCTGACGCACTGTGAGGAGTTCAAATTAAATGTGTTTAATTTCACAAGAAAAATTAATACACTCAAAATTTAAGATCTGTTTCACTTATATGCCAAGCCAATGGTTATATCAACCTCACTCCAACATTTATAACATGATGAAGAATATACAAATGAATGAAAAGAGGATCATCTGCAGAGGTGCCATGGTATAAAGGACAGTATTTCCCAAATCCGGCTGACCAAGAATCCTATTCTCAGGCTGTACCAGCATGGAATTCCTATCCAAGGGTCCAGGGTAAGGCCAAAACACAGGTCTAAGTGCCCAGGTGACTCTAAAGTGAAATTATATGTGGAAAAACTCAATCCTCCCTTTTGAAGCGAGCACGAAACCCATCATTCCCTGGCTAGACAGAGGGCTGCTTCTATGTAATAACTACTACACAGGGGCTCGTCTGCAGTGCACACAGCACCAGTGACACCACCAGGCTACCCTGAAGGTCAAACAAATTATTGGAAGAACTGTCAAAGCGGCCAAATACTGCAATCTTATCGCAAATTATTTTGCTAGATGCTGGGGGGGAACAAAACCACCTGAGTTGATTGTTTCAATAAAAACCCTACCATGTTAATTCAGATGTTGTCCTATAGTAAATGAAACTATCAGGTAACAAACCGAATAGTAGTTTGATGCTATCACATGTTATAAAGAAAAGCATTTATAAAAATAGGAAGTAAATAATAGATAAAACTATGAGTTATTTTATTTTTCTACATATTTCTGGTATTTCCCAGTGACTTACTATATATATGCCTGACCTAATAATTATGAGAAACTTAAGTTTTCTTATTAGTGCTATTAATTTCTAAGTATTATAAATGCTAGCTACTTATTCAATAATTGGCCTGTCAGAATTTCTTATAGGATAGGCTGAAAAAACAATTTAACCCTGTCATCTCTGAAGTCAAACAAACACAAACATTTCAAAAGTTTTCAACTTAACAGAATGCACTCAGACTGTTTTTGCTCATACATGAGAAGTACCTTGTTCCAAATACTCCAAACTCTGTTTCTGTCTTTTGATAATAGTGCACATTCGCCCCAGGGCGGCACGCTTCAGCTGCTTACAGCGGTAGAGAGAGTCTCCATATTTCATAAGCCGCACATAATCTTTAGCAACACTTAATGAAATAAAAAGAAACACATAAGATATTTTCACTTTTGACAATTTAAAAGACAATGTATTAGGAAAATACCTTACTTGTCCACTAAATTTTTGGCAATATTTATTTGTCCTAGAGCCAACTTGTAATGATCCTTGTCATAGAGAATGTTCATCAAATCAGCATAAAATGGATGGATATCCTGAAATGAGAAAAGCAAAGCAGTCAGTTTGGCACAGGTTTCTCATCCCTATGTGTAAACAATACTTGAAGAGTAACTTCCTAGGGAAATATATCACACTTCTCCCTCTCTTCCCAACCCCCTAGCATCTCTCCCCAAATCTCTCTCCTGGCCAATGTCTGTCTGGTTCTCTGAAAGAACAGGAGTCACAGGGAAGTAAGCCTGGCGGTCACCTCTGCCCATCCACAGACCTTTATCCCCACTCCTGTGGGAGAACTGTTCTCAGATCCAACCAAAGCCTGGTCCATCTGTGTACTGGACCTCACCCCCTTATAACTCAAGAACTGAGCTCCAGATAGTCTTCCCTCTCCACCTGGCCATTCCCATCAGTCTACAAACATATTATTTCCCCCTCAAAATTTTAAGTTTTAAAACTCCCTTGGACCACCCCCAAATCCTTCCTTTCCTTTGCCATGAAGAGAAGTACTATGTCCCCCACCCCCACCCCCACAACTAGTCAGGACTATTTCTACTAGGCTGTCGAAACTGCTCATCATCACCAGTGACACCCAGTTCTCCCATTATCTCACCAGACCCTTTCCCAAACTTCCTGATGCGTTCAGTAATCACCTGGCCTCTGGAACCTTCTCTCACTGGTTACTTCTTCTCCAACTCCCTTGCTGGCTCAAGTCCACACCCCCTCTCCCCCATGCTAACCACTCATGCTCCATGAAGCATTCTTCTCACACTCTTTTCCTAGGTGACCTCCCATAGGTTTTCACACATCTACATTTTCACAAGTTCCATCTGTCCACCTCCAGGCCGGACCTCTCACGAGTTTCAGACCACTCGGCCCTTCTGCTTGAACATCTTACCCACTTCTCATGATCAACACCTATAAACTGTTCTCCACTCCCCAAACCCATGTCCTTTGCCATCTTGGTGAAGGGCAAGCCCACTGTCCAAGGTGCTAAGGCCCACACCTATTTCCTGAGCATATCTGTTAGTTCTTCCTTTGAAGGATACTCTGTAGCCAACCACCTCTCAACTCCTTCACCACCACCAGCCCTCCAAGTCACTGAGCTAACCTGAGTGGCCTCCTACCTCCTCAAAGGACTAAGCCAGAACATGGCCAGTCCAAGGCTCAGCTCCAAAGGCTTCCTTCCTTAACAGAATTCAAGCCCTACACAAGTTACCTCACCCCACCCATTACACCTCTCTGACCCATCTTCCAATACTCTTGTTCTCACACACTCTGCTCCACCTCCTGGGTAAACCTACTCCCGGAAGACACCACTCTTGAACCTCAGCCAGGGCCTTGGCATTTGCTTTCCCCAGGGAACCACACAGCTCACCATCTCACTTCCTTCAGGTCTCTGCTACAAACTCCCTGCTGGGGCACTCCCTCCTCTCCACATTTATCTGACACATCATGTATTTTCACATTTACTGTCCTTCCTCCCCACAAAGTTAAGCTCTCACATCCTTCACCACCTCAAGTAACTTTGCCACTATGTGATCCATGTGCCACACATGGACTTCATAAGCAGTGTCGCTATTGCTTTCTACAACTAAATAAATGGGCAAACTGCGTGACACAGCAGAATAAAAAGTTCAATATTTTTGGCTTAAAGGAGAAGTCACAGCTCCCCCACAAGATTTCTTACCACCAGTGAAAAAGGCAGTCAGCAATGAACTGACCATCACCAGCTGATGAACCAAAAAGACCACAAACAGTGGTTGACCTCAGGCCACTGACCCAACCTGAGGCCAGGAAAAGGAGCCTTGGAAACAAGGAGAAGAGTCAATCAGACAAGCTAGTGAGCTGTTAGAACCCTGGGCTTCCAGGTTAGGTCACAGCTTTTAGGGACCCTGAGTTGAACCCTGTAAGCCTAGAGATTACAAAGCCTCAAGAGATAGCTCCAGGCCCTCTTAGATGGGGCTTGGTTAGCAGAAAAATTACTAAAAAATAAAGAACCCGTGTTTTCTTCCAACTTTGCCACTAACTCACTGAATAAACGTAAGACAACGCAATTATTTTCTGTTTCCTTCATTATCTGTTAGATGAGTAGACCAAACTGGTTAAACATCCATTATCTAAAAACTAACACTAACAAGCATCTGTGGGCCCCAGAGTCACTTACGTCCAATTTGGGGAAATCTGTTAGAATCTGTGAAAGTCTGTCATGGTAATTCTGTTGAGTAAATTTGACTTTTCTCATGTAAAAATGTCTAATGCGATGAATTTGGTAATGTTTATGAATAACCGTTGGAGTCTTTCGTTGAGTCTTCGATAATGTCAGGTCAATAAAGTCCTGCAATTAAGTAAAACAAGACAAGAGTTATGACAAATACGTCTACTTGTCATCCACTTTATTTGAAACCTTTTTTTAAATCCTCACTCGAGGATATTTTTCCATTTATCTTCAGATAGTGTGAAGGAGGGAGGGAGAGGGGGAGACAGAAACATCAATGTGAGAGAGACACATTGACTGGTTGCTTCCCTCATGACCCCGACCAGGGCTGGACCGAACCGCAACTGAGGTTCATGTCCTTGAGCAGAACTGAACCTGTGACTCCTTGGGCAGATGCTCTAACGGCTAGGCCAAACCAGCCAGGGCTATTTGAAACCTTCTTAAAAGACTAGTATCGCCCTGGCCGGTTTGGCTCAGCGGTTGGAGCGTCGGCCTGCGGTCCAGAGAGACCCGGGTTCAGTTCCCGCTAAGGGCACAAACCTTGGTTGCAGTTTGTCCCCGGCCCTGGTTGGTTGTGCGAGTGGTGGCCACTCGATGTGTCCCTTCACATCGATGTTTCTCTCTCTCTCTGTTCCTCTCCCTCCCTCCCGCTCTATCTGAACAAAAAATGGAAAAATGTCCTCGGGTGAGGATTTAAAAAAAAAAAAAAAAAGACTAGTATGTAATAATAGTGTAAGTTTTAAACTACAAACACTTTTTCTAACTAAGTCTTTTATATACAACTTTATCTTTGTAGTTCGTGGCCTTTAATACTTAGCGCCTGGCTGGTGTGGTTGAGCATTGACCCATGAACCAAGAGGTCACTGGTTGAATTCCCAGCCCAGGTTGTGGGCCAAATCCCCAGTGAGGGGCATGCAGGGGGGGCCAGCCAATGTTCTCTCTCACGGACATTTCTATCTCTCCTTCTCCCTTCCTCTCCCTCTAAAAAATCAATAAAGAAAAAGAGTAAAATAAATAAATAAATAAATAAATAAATACTTAGCAAATGGCTGCTGAAATAAATCTTGTCCCAAACGTTCTTTTATCTTAATTCCCAAACACATAAAAACCTTTGACACAGAGTCAAACAACTCAAGCGTAAATCAGAAAAATATACTTATAAAAGAGAAACAATCCTACAACTTCAATTCCTGTATCTTTGACTTTGAAAGTACATTAAATGACGGGCAAAACGAAAATCCACTATTTATAATTTCCTAGGGTTTGTAAGGTGACTGAGAACATTTAACAGCACTGTCAGTACCAGCAGGGATACAGGTGGCAGGTCGCGACACCTACCAGCTTTATGCATCCTCGAGGGACCAGCTGAAAAGTTATTGCTTCAGAAAGTTTTCCGATCGTCCTCCTCCTCTCGGGGGACCCCTCCTCTCCGTGGAGGACCCAAACGTCTGAGTACGGACCCTTTCATCTCGGGGGAGGGAAGACCCTAAGGTCTGAGGGGAAACCGCCACTCCTGGGAAGGACCGCTCCCCTCTGTGGAGGACCCAAACGTCTGAGGAAACACCACTGTGAAAGGAGCCCCTCGTCTCTGGAGAGGGCTCTAACGTCTGAGAGAGGAACCCTCTCTTCTGGGGTGGGGGGGAGAACCCTAACCCCGGGTGCCCTAATCTCGAGGACGTGGCCTTGGTAGTGGGGCCCGGCAGCGGAGCGTTGCAGGCCCGGGCCCTCCCGGCGAACTGGACGAGGAAAAAGGCGAGAGCGGAAGGCCCCGGAACGCCTACCTTGGCGGACGGCACCACCGTGATTTTCTTGAAGTTGTAGTGCGCCATGTCGACGGTCAACCACGAGGGACACAGGCCAGCAAGCGGACTTCCGCGGAGGACGGGGGCGGGACTTCCGTCGACTTCCCGTCACTTCCGGGAGCTCTCTGCGTCTTTCTAGTACAGCCTTTGCGTCGCACAGCGCCCCCGCCAGGTCGGAGGTCCCTGGCAGAGCTGTTGCAGAGCCGCGGCCGATTGGGGGCAAGCGGGGGCCTGGGGAGGACCGCGGGGAGTTAGCGGCGCGGGGGTTCAGTTCTTGCCAGGTAAAGGAGGGGTCCTCACAAGCTGCCCTTGGAGTCTATGCTGCCTTCATCCGGCTCGGCTCGGAAGGAGGGGGGCTCGAGGGTTTGGGAGAGCCCAGGGATCTCGGGGGTTCTCCGCGATCCGGGGGTCTCCGGGAACTCAGAGGCCTGGGGATTCAGGGGAATCTTGAGGGTCCGGAGGATCACGGGTGGGCCTGGGGATCCGGGAGTCTCAGGGGGTGTTGGGGACTTGCAGGGTCTCCGGGCCTCGAGGTTCCTTGTATCTCGGGGGACTCGGTGATGCAGGGCTCTCCGGTGTTCTTCGGGGACTCAAGGGCATGGGGATCTCTGGGGACTCAGGAGGGTCTCCGGGGAATCAAGGGTCCAGGGATCTCGGGGGTTTTGGCCGTCCGGTGTTCTCTGGGGATAGCGGGGGTCTTGGGGAGTCCGGGGGTCTCAGTGGGCTCAGGGGTTCGGGGTCTCGGCGGTCTGGGGTAATCTGGGTATATCGAGGGTCTTGGGGACTCGCGGGGTCGCCGGGGACTCAGGGGTCCAAGGATTCTGGGGACCTCGAGGGTCTGGGGCGGGGTGTCTCTTGGGACTCCAGGTGGTGGGCGCGGGCCTTGCACCCCGAAGGAAGGCGGGTGCGCACAGGCCCTGCGCTGTCCGCGCTCAGAGCTCAATGAGGCCCTTCACTGAGTCTGGCGTTCCGCATTCCCTGCACCCCTTTCCCAGAGTCCTAACCCGACCCAAACAAGGAAAGTGCAGCACAAGAAACTAAGATTATATGCCAACCTCACTCATGAACAAAGTCACAAAAATTTAAATAAAATGTTATGTAAACGATTATGCAAGACAAGTATTTGATAAAATTCAACATCCACGCATGACAAAAAACCTCTTGGCAGAATAATAAGAATGTCCTTCTTCAGGGAATCTACCAAAGGAAACAAAACTCAGCAAACACTTTACTCGGGGGAAACACGGAAAACGTTCTGTTTTAAATTGGGAACACGATTATCCATGATGATCATTGTTAAAAATGGGTGCCACCCTCGGTGTCATGTCTTCGATGCCACAGTTCCCAGTCTGGCGGTCCTATCCTCAAGCGCTGCGACAAGGGTTAAAAAGGGGGGATGGGGTGGGGCGATAGTTAATACATAAGGGTCCATTATACTGTTTTCTCTAGTATATGTTTGAAATCTTCCATAATAAAAATTTTAAAAATTGTTTTAAAGTGTTAACTACATTTTCCAGTTCTTGAAGCCCTGGCCCATAGAATGAATCCATTATTCAAACCAACAAGAAGAGAGGAAGAAATGTGTAAGGAAATAAACAAAAGTTTATATAGCAAAAGCAGTGTTTATCTTAGCAAATGCATGAAAGGCATGATCTAAACAGTAGTATCCAAGTTAGTTCTTTGAAAAATAACAACAAAAGCCTCCAATGCGCCCCACGTGGCTCAGTGGATTCAGCATTGTTCCATGGACTGGGAGATCCCTGTTGGATTCCCAATGGGCACATCCCTGAGTTATAGGCTCTGTCCCCAGTGGGTAGCATGCAGGAGGCAGCCAATTGATGTTTCTCTGTCACATTGATGTTTCTCTCTCTCTCTCTTCCTTTCTCTCTAAAAAAAATATCAATAACATTTTTTTAAAAAGTGACAACAGCCCTGGCCAGTTTGGCTCAGCAGTTGAGCATCAGCCTGCGGACCAGAGAGTCCCGGGTTCAGTTCCTGCTAGGGGCACGTACCACAAAAAATAAATAAATAAATAAATAAAAAGTGACATCAAAAACATTAGCTACACATATGAAGATGACATTATGTCGTCTTTAAATATGGTGAGAATTCATCAGGATAATTTTCCAGGGATTGATAAAAAATATAATGAAATGTCACATGCCTGGGCAGCTATTATGTACAACGCTTTATTACATGTAGCATAAGGTAGCATAAAAGACACTTTCTGTCTTTTTCTCATTTTAGCCAGGGAGATAAAATCGAATACAGAACAGTCTAAGCCAACACCCTTTACAATCTATTCCTAAGTGGTCACTCCCAACCTCTTCCTTCAGAGATACTGGGGTTCCTGCCCCCCAAACACCACAGCTCCACCTGCATCCACCTTTCTCCTACTTGATGTCTTTCCCCTCCCCGATGTCTCTCTTCTCTTTGGTTACTTAATACCTTCAACACAATGACCTTCTTTCTTCTCCTCACTCCCACATGAACCAGGCAGGCAGTGACACTGTGGACTTCAGTACTCTGAGTCAAGTCCAGGCACCACAGCACACAGATTTTTCTAAGCCTCCAGTCCAAGTCCATTAGGGGTGGCATGTCTGTGGTGGGATATCCTGAGAACCTGGCTGTTTTTTAATACACTGCTTATGGGAAAGCAAGTTTTAAAGTACAAAACACCAACTGACAAATTAACTTTTAAACCTGTTATAGCAACTTAGTGAAAACTGCCTATACTTTGAAGGTCAAATTAGGGAGACTGATGTTTCACAAACACGATCCTGACATCACTGTCAGTGTGAGATTTGTTACAAGCAATTTGTTACTAATTATCAAGTTCTCAAGTTTGCAGTGATTTCCCTTTTATTAATAAAAATGCAAATTGAAGACTTTCTTGTACTGCCATTCATTGAGATTTCTTCTGGACTAGGAAAGGAGAAGTCGTGCTCTAAGAATTACTATAACCCACAGACCAATTTGTCTGAAAAATGGAATTTCTGCACGCTCACAATTTTGAACAGAAGTGCAGCACAGCGAAAGAGTGCTGACGAGCACTGTGTAGACAACCTCTGAAAGTTACAGGAAAGAAAGATGGGTGAGGGTGCTACTGGAACCAGGAAGGTGTCTCCAGGAAGGCGAATTCAGTCTTCCCCTTGGTAGGTATTATTTCAAACAGGGACAGGGCAGGTCAGGTGAAGGGAGTGCCTTCCTGCAAAGCATGAACAGATGGCACCATGGTTCACTGAGGTTGGCTTGGTTTTGTTTTTTTCGGTGTGTGGGTTAATGAATAAGGCATTTGACCCATGCAGGGCAGGTGACTAAATGATGATTAAATGCTTTTTCAAGCACTGTATGCAAAACACATCGAAAGTGGGGTCATTGCTGTGGCCTCAACAATGTTCACACTCCCTGAGCACTGGCTGTGCCTTCTCATAGAACCCTCACGAAGGCCTGTGGGTAGGTCCATGACCTGAGGATGGGAGCACAACGTGGGGGTGGGCACTATTGTTATGTTTGTTGCACATAAAGAAATAAAGCATAGAGACCTTGTCTCCCATCCCCAGCTTGATAGTGGGAACAGAGCTGAATCCAGTCTGATGGCAGGGCTTCCTTCTTCACTCCCCACTGCGCCAAGGACCTTCTTGGACGGGGTCCTAGCACAGGCCCTGTCTTCTCATGTCACTCCCTGATGGAGGCAGAAAGGACCCCACCAGCACTGGATGGCATGCATCGCACATCTGCATGAAAGGCATGAAATCACATGGGGAATGATGGCAAACACCATTTTATGTTATTCTTTAATCAATGACACTTGTTTGGCTCCTGCAGCTTCTGCCAACTGAAGGCTAATGATAGTGCATTGTACTCAACTGAACAATTCTTTGGACCAATAGAGACTTATAGCCTTCATAAATACTCTATATGGAAAGCATTCAGTGGTTGACAAATGACCATCATGTTGAAATGTGAAGTTATTCAGAATCACAATTGGAGAAGCCATAGATTTTTCTCTATGGCATAGAGAAAATTGTTTTGGCAAATATTGACAAGTTGGTGGAGCTGATTTAGAGTGTCAGCCCGTGGACCAAAGAATGTCGGGTTTAAGAATGTCAGTCAAGGGTACATACCTCGGTTGCAGTTTGTCCCTGGCCCTGGACATTTTTTGCATTTATCTTCAGATAGAGCGGAGGGAGAGAGTGGGGAAGAGAGAGAGACACACATCGATTGGTTGCCACCCACACAATCCCAACCAGGGCTGGGGACAAACTGAAACCAAGATACATGCCCTTAGCGGGAAACGAACCCGGGACTCTCTGGTCCACTGGCCGACGCTCTAACCACTGAGCAAACTGGCCAGGGCTATTTATTTTTTAATCCTCACCCAAGAATATTTTTTCCATTTATTTTCAGAAGGAGTGGGTGGGAGGGAGAGAGGGAAGGAGGGTGAGAGAGAGAGAGAGAGAGAGAGAGAGAAACATCAATCTAAGAGAGACACATCAATTGGTTGTCTCCTGCATGACCGCGACCAGGGTGACCAGGGTGACCAGGGCGACCAGGGCCAGGGACTGAACTACAACCGAAGTTCCTGCCTTTGACCAGAATCCAACCTGAGACTCTTTGGTCTGCAGGCGGATGCTCTAGCTGTTGAGCCAAACCGGTCAGGACTCTTCACATTTTTAAATAAAAAAGGTCAGGCCCTGGCCGGTTTGGCTGAGCGGTAGAGCATTGGCCCCAAAGAGTCACAGGTTTGATTCTGACCAAGGGCACATACCTCGGTTGTGGTTTGTCCCTGGTCCTGCCCTGGTTGCGTCGTGCGGGAGGCAACCAATTGATGTGTTCCTCTCAAGTCCGTGTTTCTCTCTCCCTTCCACCCTATCTGAAGAAAAATAGAAAAATAAAAATAAATAAATAAATAAATAAATAGGTCAGGATTTAGAAGGAGGTTGCTAAGAGTGATACTGAACCCATCTCTGAAATAGAGTCATCTTTCCAAAACGTTTACCAACGGCTATGGTCTGAATGACCCCCTCCCCCCATTCATACATCAAAAGCTAACCCCCCAGTGTGATGGTATTAGGAGGTGGGGCCATAAAAGAGACCCAGAATGCTCCCTCTTCTTCCACCATGTGAGGTCATAGTTGGAAGATATCATCTGTGCCAGCTGCTGGGAAGCAAAAATGTCATAAAAATAATTTCATGTGTTTCCACTGTAAATAACAGTATTTTACACAAATGATTTCATGATGCACAGAGGGTGATGTGCGCTGGGTAGGTCCATTGTGGTTGAGAACATATACTCATTCCCATATATTTTTGAAAACTGCCTCAGAAGGTTCATGGACTCCAGTCTCCTGATTCACATGGCCCCAAACAAATAAATGAAGCCTTCATCTGTGTGTGCACAGGGTCCCCTGCCTGCTCTGACCATGACTATGCCTATGGGACCCTAAAGCAATTTCTCTTCCATCCACTGCAAACTGCCTGCCATCAACTCATTACTAAAGAATGCTTTTTTCTTTTAATTGTGTAGCTTCCAGATTCGTGTCTCTAACCAAGCTCTCAGGGCCTCGTGGTGCACATAGCACCCTTCTGTGGCAGTGGGAAGAATGTTTCTAAGTCCCTTATTATGGCAGAGGAGCAACTTCTAGAAGGGATCTTAAAGGGAAAGCAGATCTTACCCGCATGGCGCCTCAACATTTGCCTCATTGCCAACAAATACCGCTCGGTTTTAACCCACTTAGGCTCATTTTTGTCTACCAAGCTGGGGATGGGCTCAGAATTAGTCAGCGGTACATGGAAGCAGACAGAGACCCTCAGAACCCCATTCACAGTATTGAATATAAAGGTGTATTTATTTATTTTGTTTTACTTAAGAAACTTGCACTGCATGCCTACAATGTGCCAAGTATACTGATGGTGTGCGGGTGGCAGAATAGTGGCCCCCAAAGACGTCCATGTCCTAGTCCCTGGAACCTGTGACTATGTCACCATACCACAGGAAGAAGATCAAGGTCAAGACAATGACATTTGCCCACCAGCTGACCTGAAGGTAGGGAGATGATCCTGCATCAGCGGGCTGGGCCCAATTCATCACAAGGGTCCTTTTAAGTGGAAGGGGATCAGCGTCAATGCCATTCGAGGAGATAAGAACTTCACCACCACTGCTAGCTTTGAAGATGGAGAAATGTGCCTTCAAGCCAAGGGATGCGGGTGCCTCCAGAAGCTGGAAAAGCCCAGGAAAGAGCTCCTTCCCTTGACCCTCAGAAAGAACGCACTCTACCAACCTGTTCACGTCAGTCCAGGGAAACCCTTTGCAGATTTCCAGCCTGCAGAATTGTAAGGTAATTAATGAATGTGTGCTGTTTCAAATCACGTTTGTGGT